ATGGTAAAAAATGAGAGTATGTTGTGAGGATGTGAAATATAATGAACATTGTTTAGTTCATGAGAAACAATAAATATTGTGAAGTATCAGTCATTATTTCAAATATTTAATATTCCTCCTCATAATTCTAATGAGTGATTTTTTTTTTCATGTACAAAGAGAAAAAATCCAACTTTCTTGAAATGTTAGGTTTTATATGAAAACAAGCTATCAGAAACTGTTTTCATTGAATCCCTGATATTCTTTTCTTAGGTTTAATGTGTAATATAAAGCTCACTGGAGAAAAAAAAAAAAGCACCCTCTCATTTATTAACTGTCTCTAGGCAACTACTTAAACTATTGAATGATAGAATTTTTGAGATAAATAATTATAGTGATTTCTGATGATTGAAAATTATATAATTGTAGCCATATATTTATATTTAAAATATAGGGTAAAAAAAAAACAGTTTGTATTCACATGTAATTATAGTGTGATATGTACTGGAACCCATATACTATGGTATACTTTAAGTTGTACGGCAAAATTTAGCAAATTAATCAATAACTAAGAATCTTACCCAATTAAATTATTATAAACCACATGGGAAAACAACTGCTATCCCAGAAAATAGAAAACAGATATGGAGAATGTATAATAAGTGTTTGAGAGATATGGAATTTTTCCCCAGAGTGTTGTAAGGATCTCATAATTTCATAGTGCCAAAGCCCAAGTGTGTTATGAGGATCTTTCCTCAAGAGTGACATTAATTACATACCCCACAAATGCTTATTATGTATTCTATTTATACCAAAGTGTAAAAGCAGTCAAAAGTTTACAGATTGAATATATTTAAAGGTGATAATAAAAGAGTCATTCAGGCCTAGCAAAAATTGTTAACTTAAACTTCAATTTTTAGTTTCATTATTAAAGAATATTGTAATTGTATTAGTGCAAATACAACTGAATCTTCCTATGAATGTGCTGCCTTTGGGATTTACATGATAGAACTGTAATGCAAATATTTTGGATGCTTTTGCACAAACAACCCATAAGTGATGATATCACAGGTCCTTATTTTCACAATAAAAATAAAAATACCACAAAAACAACTCTTAAAATTACCTTGGAAAGTCATAAAAAATAGGTCAATGTTTTTCTTTGGAAATTAGTATGCATTGACAGGCACTTAATTTTTAAAAATGTCAAATACAAATCAATAATTGGCAAACAAAAGCCAACTCAGATGCTAATTTCTTGAATTAAAACACAAGAAACTCCATTCCAAGTGCAGCAGGAGTAATCTTTCATAAAATTAATGAAATACATGGTGCAAATTACTTTTAGAATGTATTATTTGATAATATCACTATGCTTAACATTTAATTTCAGATTTATTCTGCTTAACCTAAAACAGAAATTCAATTTATCATTGGCTAACAACAACAACAAAATTAAAACTATTCAGAAGATAATAAATAACAGCATTAATAAGCAAGATTTTAGGTAATACAGGATTTCATGGGTACTTTTTCCTATATTTGAAGATAAATATCATCAATTGAACTAGAATTAAGTTAATTTAAAACAGTGTTAGCCAGTGTCAGTGGAATTAGTATTTTTACACTAATCATTAATTTTAATTTTGGTAAGTTCATTTGCTTAAAGTTGCAGATATGTTTAGATATGGTATGTTGCCCATTTAAGGAAACTTACAAATATATTCTCTAACAAAAATTATTTTAAAAAATGAAGTAGTTACATATTTCCTTAATGACAATTATAACTATTATGATGCAGACAAATGATTTTTATTGTATCATATAATTGCTATGGACTGAGTAAAATTAGATAAGTGCACAAATATATTGGTGTCTTTGTATCACCATTATCCCATCATAAACATATGTATGACTTACTCCTCATTCTATAAAGGTTATTGGTACTGGTAAAATTTTGCATTGGCTCATTCATCATTGACATTTTTACCAAATTATTTTCTAATTTTGAATTAAATCAAGAGAAATTTTATTCTTTGTAAAATGCTGAAACATTTTATAGGAAACTATTTTGTTTGAAAATAAAAATTCTGTAAAAGAACTGTCAAGCAAAAATACATTTTAGACGACACAATATAAATTATGGTATCATCTTGAGATGAGCTGTTTTTATTAACTGAAAACTGATTATTTTAAATTTCTCAGATCATAGATTGAATTTTTGGTGCCGATTTTGAATGTAAAACTAAATCAACTTTCTTCCAACAGGAATAGTCAGTAGAATGAGCAATTCTTTAAAGTAATAACACCTATATATGACAACAGAACTAAACAGTCTCACTTCATTTTTATGATACAAAACTACAATATTTATTAATTTCAAGGACATAAAATTATTGTGCAAATTGTTATGATCATTACCAGAAGTTTACTCTCAACTTCTGTACTCTCTCTTTAAAAAGCTCTAAAAGACACCTATTACATGTTTCTAGTAAGTGGGAACCCACATGTTTTAGTGAACAAAGTATAGAAAAGTCTAAGAGTTTGAAGGGTGCATGAATCACAGTATGTCATATTTACATAGACATAATATCCTAATTAAGGAATGGTAATGACAGATAATGCTTAAAAGGTACTTTCACACATATATTGAATGTTTAGTACATACTGAGAACTATACCTTTTGTATATTATGCTTTTATTCTCACAGCACATTATGAAGTAAATACCATTATTCTGAATCTCCACAGATGAAAAACAAAGGCTCAAAGTGGTTAAATAGGAGTGTTTCATTTCAAAGTCTGTGTTTCCAACTGTTATTTTGTACTATTGTTTGACCCCAAAGTTAATAACAGTCATCAATAAACATACACAGGTGGGTAGGACATTTTAGGGGAGCATGCAGGGATATAAGATTATTCAAGCACTTTGACCTTTCATGTACCTCACAAATATTAGTTATAAAATCAAATTAATAAGTGAAATGGATCAGTGAAATTCTTGAACTATAAAATGAAGTACTCATCAAATTCAAACAATGAGTGACCTCTTCTATATAAATTTTTAAAGGTAATATAGATAAGGTTCTATAAATAATGGAATAAATGAGGAAGCTATGGTTATTACAAGCCTTTATATTGTTATTATCACTAATAATGTTGAAAAAATTCAGAGAAATTATGTCATGGACCACGCAATTTTACTGGGAAAATACTAGTCAGGATGTTGAAGAAGCTCTGTGAATTATTATATTGAAGAGGAAACTGAAGGAGATTAATGTCTGCTGAAGGAAAGTGGAACACCCTGGTTATAAATTGTTGTCCTGAAGCCCACTTCATCACCACTGCAACATAAAGCACTAGCACAGGAAAAGAGGCAGGAAATTAGAAAGAATTTCAAAGAAAGGGGAAACATGTATATCACCAATTTCTTTCCCCAATTTAAAGACCAGTTTTTAGATGTCAGCAAACAGCATTTTGAGGATGTCAAGTGGGATTTATATTTGAATATGTTAATTGTTTGAGTGCACAATGGAATACAGAATTTGAATCCTTGTCACTAGCTATTTCAAAACACAGTTTTAGGTCCATGATCAAAAATGCATTAAGCTAGATCTATATGCTAATACATTTTTTATGTTAGACCTATATGTTTAAGTAGCAATCATTAATAGCCTAAAATGTTGCCTAACACCTATGTCAGACACAACTTTCTCATTTCTAGTGGGAATGCTGCTCTTAATGATGAGGTTATCACACACACAAATATGAGCATGATTAAAACAGGAAAGAAGACTTCTTTGATCACAGTTCATGGCTTCCAGAGAAGAAAAACAGCTGAGAATTATTCTTAGTGAAAAATTCCATGCAACATGACAACATATTAACAACTCACCAATTCTTTTCTCTGGGCTAAAAAAAAAAAAAAAAAAATCCCAAAACAGCCCCCTCTAATTCTAAAGTTTTGAATCATTTGAGATTCTTTGTAATACAAATTAAAAACCCATATTTATTAAACCTCTATTATGTACATCTCAATAATACCTTCTTAATTTTTTGATATTCTACTAATGGAGAGTTAGACTTTATAAAAATAACTGTCAAGAGACTACTCAGCACTACATATAAATGTTCTATTATTTTAATAAAGTGGACTCTTGTCTGTAGCATCATATAACTCAGATTTATTAAAACCACTCTTATTTTTTAAAAAATAATTTTATTGTATTTTTTATGCATTTATTTTATTTATTTTTATGTGCTGAGGATCAAACCCAGCGCCTCACGCATGCTAGGCAAGCACTGTAACACTGAGCTACAACCAGAGCCCCAAACCACTATTTGCAAATTTAACTATATACTTTACAAGCTACTGAAAAAATACAAACACCCTTTCTTTCAAGTGGTTCCCTATTCTTCTGCTATAGTATGTTATGAAGTTATGTGGCTAAAGAAAATTAATACATTATGTTCAATGAAAAGGACATCTATTTTATTAACATCACTTCTGAAGTAGAGCAAAAGATGACCACATGATAAAATGGAAACAGTAAGAACATCTTATAGGACTGTTTGGTTCAGGGATCAGCTTTGTGTGTGTATGACCTGCACAACCATGTACTTCTTAAGAATGCTTCATTTAATGATCTATTATATCCATCTTGAAATTCTTATTTCTCAAAAGCATTCTGACATTCTTCTTTTGCCTAGGGCTCTGCAGCAAATTATGTAGTCAATCCTGCATAGGTCTGAATTATAACTTCATTGTTTACAATGTAAAGTTAGACTAAGTCTTAGCTTCTTCATCTGTAAGAATAGGGAGATACTCAATTCACAAGGTTTGTGAGAATATTAGATGATACACCATACATGAAAGTAATGGGCATAAAGCACATAAGAACGAGGGGAGATGAAATAAAACAGAGATGGAACAGTTCTTGCTTCTACTTCTAGGGATCTGAGACATAGAAATTACCACAAATCATAATTATTTGTAGCTAAAACTAAAACTTTAATACTTACAATCCATATATCTGTGGTGCAATTTCCAGTCTGTTCAAGTGCATATAGAGCTCAATATCATGCTTCTTCAGTAGATGATCCTGGATCTGATTGACTTTAGTAACAATAGCAACTGTTGGTCCTAAATCCTGGGGCCGGGCAAAGGGGATGGGAGGCATCAGAGTTTCTTTCCCCTAGATAGGAATAATGGGACATATATTATTTCAATATGAAAAGAATATCATTCTTCAATTTCTTTACCAAAGAGAGTTTAAACAAGAAATAAAAACTGCTATAATTATCTCTTGACAAATGCTAAAATATGGAACCATATGATGACATTCAGATGATTTTGCTCATTAAACACTCGCCAGGAAATGCCTTCTAAAATATTTGTTGCATATATTTCCTTGACCGGTTTCTCTTGTGACAAAGTTTTACAAGGTAAGTTTGTCTAGAAGTGGTGATAGCCACTACAAAGTATCTATGGCCAGTTTATGTGATGCTATAGAATATAAATGGAATTCGATGGAAACCCATTTTTGTGTGAGGCATGATATTCAAACATAAAAAACAGTAAATGAAAACTCTTTTACTTTGAGCTCTCAAAGCTATATAAAATAGGGTAGAGAGAGATTCTATTATGTATATATATGAAATGTTTATATTGCCTTTGTATGTCTGTCAATTTTATTAAGGGTATGTTTTAGATTCCCAGGTCCAATCTTATTTTGTAAGTATGTTCAATTTTATATATGTTCATATTTTATATATTGTAATAAAAATGACTTATTATATACTACTCCCTGCTATATGTTGTTACTGAAATCATTTCTTCACTCAAATATACTGAAAAGATCTGTTCTATTATGTTTACCTTTTTTTTTTTTTTAATACACACACATTTTTTAGTTGTGGATGAACCTTTACTTTTTTTTTTTTTTAAGCTGGATATACTGTAGGTTCACAGTCAGTTTTTATTATGGCTGTTTTAGGTTCCTTTTTTTTTATTGTTGGTTGTTCAAAACATTACATAGTTCTTGATATATCATCTTTCACACTTTGCTTCAAGTGGGTTATGAACTCCCATTTTTAGCCCATATACAGATTGCAGAATCACATCAATTACACATCCATTGATTTACATATTGCCATACTAGTGACTGTCGTGTTCTGCTACCTTTCCTATCCTCTACTATCCCCCCTCCCCTCCCCTCTTCTCTCTCTACCCCCTCTACTGACCTTCATTTCTCCCCCTTGTATTATTTTTCCCTTTCCCCTCATTTCCTCTTGTATGTAATTTTGTATAACCCTGAGGGTCTCCTTCCATTTCCATGCAATTTCCCTTTTCTCTCCCTTTCCCTCCCACCTCTCATCTCTGTTTAATGTTAATCTTCTTCTCATGCTCTTCGTCCCTACTCTGTTCTTAGTTACTCTCCTTATATCAAAGAAGACATTTGGCATTTGTTTTTTAGGGATTGGCTAGCTTCACTTAGCATAATCTGCTCTAGTGCCATCCATTTCCCTGCAAACAGCCCAGAACCTTTACTTTTTTATTTATTTATATGCAGTGCTGAGAATTGAACCCAGTGCCTCATACATAATAGGCATGCACTCAACCACTGACCATAACCCACGCCCCTTATAATATTTACCTTTTGACCATCATGCTCAAAAGTGGAAAACCAAGGTTCAGCAGTTTCCATCAGTTGTGAGAACATTGCACTGAAAGTAGAAAAATAAAATAATGTTATGGTTTATCCTCAATAAAGTAATAATAGCATAAAAGAAGAAAAATAATAGTTTTTATACTTACTAGGCATCATGTTCCAGATACTCGGGGTTCAAGAGGGTTTTCATTTCCTCGCTTTAAAAAGTAATACAAGCAATCAAAATGTGCATTTTTTCCAATAACTGAAGAGGATACAGAGTTTGTCTTATTCGACATTTATAAGACAACTTTCATATAATGAATGAGAAAAATTAGCCTTTTTAATAAAAAGAGCAACTCCATTAACAAATAAAATCCTTTCTTTCTATAAAGATCAAAAACAAATAAGCTGCCTTGTTGGTGCCACAATAAAGTAGCTATCTAATTATTCTAAGCAACAAATACAGAAAGTGACAATATTTTCTTTGACTATGTTTGATCTAGAATAATTTATAACTCTATGATGTATCACTTGTCATCTAAAACCAAACAAAACATATAGTTACTGATTCAATATGCAATATCAAGACATTCATTTATTTTCTTTTAATGGCCATATTATTTGAACATCAATTAATCAGTGATAACATCTTTTACAAATTTACTTCAGTATTGCTTTACTTAGTAATGAATTCCAAAGACTGAAGAACCATGTTCTACTAATTTTAAAGCTACATTCAATCATCTCTACTTTCCTGTATATTCTCTATGCACATTTTCAAAAATAAAAGTGCCATGAAAACTGGTTTGCAACACAAACTGCAACCTGATATTTTAGAATAATTGAAGTGAAGGTAGTTAACATATCTTACTCTTGTCAAGATCCAATAAACTCAATAAAATCAGAAAAATTTAGAGGAAACTTGAAAATGCTAATTTCATAACATAGTAGACAAAAGTTAATTCACAGGGCTGTACATATTCTTTATAAATTGGACAGCTTACATCTGAACATTAAACATTACACAATTAAGATATATGAGATGTTATCTGCCAGTATTTTGTCTCCTGCATATTGGTGGGCTAGCTTATGGATTGCCTGACAAGGCCTTACAATCATACAGCTCTCTGTTCCCAAAATGCTTCTTGGTTGCTTTTCTGGCCCATCAGCTGGGGTAGCTTATTTTAAAAAATGAATTTTAATAATTACCTTAGTTAAATCCAATTACAAACATTATCTGCAGCTGGGCATGGTGGCACACACCTGAAATCCCAGCTACTCTGAAGGCTAAAGCAGGATGGTGGCAAGTTCAAGGCCAGCCTCAACAACTAAGTGAAACCTTGTCTCAAAATATGAAATAAAAAAGGGCTGGGAATGTAGCTCAGTGATGGACCACCCCACTGAGTTCAATCCCCAGCACATACACATATACAAAGTAGTCTCTCTCAACAACCTGAGAACCCATTTGATTTATTTACAGACAGATTCTTCATAGTACTGTTCTTTTATTTATGAATTAAGCTGAGTCAAAGCTGGTAAGGAGAAAGTATGTAATAAAGATATCATTCAGTTCACAGTGAAAAATGAGTCATCAGAATACATATGAGTATTATCGATCATTAGCACTTTTGTCAGTAAAACAAACATTTTTTCTTGACCCATCAGTTATATGTCTTCCTTTGAAATATACTAAAATTTTCAAAGACACAACTGCAAATCTGCCCCACAGCTAACCTGGCATTACAACTATTAAGTGGAATTACAACTAGCCATATAAAATACAAATGTTCACAACTTAACAAAATTTACAAGTACCTTTGATTTAAAAGATTTTGAAGCTCAAAAAGTAAAGGATATAGTAAGTAAGAGTAAGGAACTCATTAAAAACTTGCCTTGGCTGTGCAGACTCACTGGCATGTAGAAAAGCTTGGTGGTCACAATGAAGGATGAAAACTATGGGGGCTAATAGCTCGTGCATACCCTGAAACACAAGATCAAGAGAAATGAATGAGGATAGTGAAAGGCCATTAGTGGACAGTATAAGCTGAGTAATGTTAAAGATCTTCATATTATACAGAAAAGCATAAAAATGGAAAGGTACAAAATGAGATTTTTACCTACATTTAGAATTCGATCCCAATTCAACCACAGCACCTATTCTTGTTTAAAACACGGATAGCAGTTCTCTTTTAAAATAACATGACAAACAATAAATTGGCATGGTAGACAACCTTGCACCTGTCAGTTGCTTCAAGATCTGTACTCATAAATATGAATTTCATTTATGCAAATTATAATCATGAGCTACAGTGTAAAGATCTGCAGTAAGAAGGGCAACTAAGAACTGTAGACCTAAGAAAATTACATCCAATGTTTTCATTATATAATGGCTCAAAATTAGGATGTCTGTAGACTTAGGAAGAGCTAAAGTCAGCTAGCTAAAAGTAGTAGAAAATTTAAAACAACAACAACAACAAAACTTTAGAAAGTATGATAGAAAAGTTTTTCAAATATGATTTTCAACATATTTAATCAGAAAACTATTATAGGTTTCTTTTCTACTTAAACTAGGGTCATTTTCAAATTATTTAATGAGTTCACTAACATAGTATTTTCCCTTGTAATCTGAGGTTCAACTGACAGTTACACAAATAGGCAAAGAAACAAAAAGGCATAGTGTTAGTTACTAAACCGTCTTTTAAAAGTTACTCTAAAATTCCATTATTTGTTCATTACTTAGGGACAAAAGATATTAAGCATTAGTGTCAAGCTTTGTTCATTTAGATTTTTCCTCTTTAAGCACAAAATACCATATTCTAACAAGCTAAAACAGATTACTGTCCTTTCTGCCTCTTAATTGAAGCATACTTCTACTTTCCTTTTGCTTAGTAACAAGGATGTTCTTCTATAAAAAGACAAGACAAAATATCACCTTTAGAGGAAATATAAGTAAAATATAAGAGAGCAAAGAGGAGAGAACAACTTTGCTAGTAGAATTAGAGGTAGCTTCCTGGAAGGAAGGACAGAGTCACACAGATAACTGTGCAGTCACTAGTATTGTGCTAGTCTTAGGAAGTCAGTTGTTATCAAAGATGACAGTAGATTTTATCGAATTTCATTTCTAACTTTTCACTAGTCTTGATTACAATTATTTAATGAATATTTTGACAATATAACTTATAATCCATTGACAATTTATGTTTCATTTAAATTACCACATGACACTTCAATCTTTCTTGGTCAACATTTATTCATTTAATAAACCTTGGAATGAATGTGCTCTCGAAGAACATGGTAGATGACAAGAGATGAAATCAAGTGAGCTAATTGGGCTTTAAAAGTCATCATAAGGAGTTAATTTTCTTGAAATTATATTATTACTTTAAAAAGAAAGTGCCCAAATTTTGGCAATACTGGGGATTAAACCTAGGGGTGCTCTACCACTGAACTACATCCCTGGTCCTTTTTAGTTTTTGAGGCCAGGTCTCCCTAAGTTGCCAAAGCTGGCCTTGAACTTATGATTCTCCTGCCTCAACCTCCTGAGTAGCAGGGATTACAGATGTGTGCCACTGCACATAGCTGATGTGTCATAATTTTAATAATCAAAGTAATAGCATTCAAAGTAGAAAACTACAGAAAAGCAGAAACAAGAATGAAGTCAGACAGGAGGAAACAAAGAAACTACAAACTTTAATGGATAGCCTTATGGTAATATTTTAGCATATTTCTGATGTTTTCCTTAGAATAAAGTTTTCAGAAGTACAATTTCTGGGTACAAACATTTGTTAAAATCCCTGATGTATACTTTTATACAGCTCTCCACAAAGAATTCCCTCACTGTACAATATTAAAGTCACCATCTACATTCTTTTTTAAAAATTGTGTGAAATTTCAAAAATTGTTGTAATTATATATGTGAAAGCCAGTGAGACTAAACATTTTACTACCATTTTTAATTAATTATTTTGTCCAAATTATTGTTTCCTTTTCCCTAATGATTTGTAACAGTTCTTTACCAATTAAACCTATTAATGCTTCTCAATTTTGTTAGAAATATTTCCCATGTTTATCATTTGTCTTTTAATTTTGATATCTTATGTCATACTAAAGTTATACATTTTAATAGTTAATACAATAAATCATCCATCATGGGTTGTGTTTTTCTTTTTTTTTAATGCCTAAAAAGACTTCCCTCATATTGAGATTAGGTAAGAATATAGTTTTCCCCCAACCCCAGTAAATTCTCCACTCACCTGATATTAGTATAATTTCTGCCATAAAAAATATAACTTTCTTCTTCAAAAGAAGTAAAATTTACTGAATAATTAACATCTTCAATAAATTTAATCTATTCAATAAGTTGAACAGCCCATCTTCTCTATGCTTTCCAAAATGCCATCTTTACCCTAACCTGAATGTTAGTTCACAATTTTTCTGGATATTTTTTTTAACTTGTATTCCAATGGCTTGTATATTCCTGACAAAAACTGTACTATTATCCAAAATACTTGAGTCCACCCATGATCTTTGTTTTTCTTCTCCACCCCCCCCTTTTTTTTTTTGGTTAAAATTATCTTGCTAATTCTAACTTCATTTTTTCTTCCAGGTTCATTGTATCACTTAGACACAGAAAATGCTAAAACAAAGACTGGGATTTTTTTTTTTTTTTGACATTACTTTAGAATTAACTTGAAATAGATATTTTTAAGAACATCAGATTTTCCAATTCAAAATTGTGTAAAACTCATGATTAAACTTCATATTTCATAGGTTTACTACTAGCTATCTTTCTTTGTTGTGGGTGGTAATCTTCAAATAGGTCTTTCAGTATGTTTTCTAACTGATGTGGCTGGGTTAAGGAGGAATTACTTTTATATAATTCAATATTCCTGCCTTTTTAAGATGTTCTCTTCCTTCTAGTTTCTGTGACAGTACTCTCTCTAGATGCTCCTTTGTTCAACTATCATTCATCATTCATCATTCACTTATCCCAATAACTAGTAAATGCCTACATGTGCTATGGAAACAAAGTGAATAAAGTGGGACAGTTTCTAAACTTAATAGAGCTTGAAGTCTAAAGAAAAGACTACACAGTTATACAGAATAAGAAGTAGTGTATGTTTGAGTGTGTATTCAAAGATGTGTGTATGTATTAATACATACAGTTGGCCCTCTGTATCCAGGGCCCCTGCATCTGTGAATTCAACTAACTGGTGACAGAAAATATTAGAAAAATAGGAAAAAAAAATCCCACCACATTTATATTATTCATATAGACTTTCTTCTCATTATTCTGTACACTACACAGTTTAACAACCATTTACATGGTTCTTACATTGTATAAGATACTATATGTGATCTAGAGATGATTTAAAGTACATGGGAAGATGTGTGTTAGGTTATGTGCAAATACTACAACATTTTATATAAGGAACATGAGCATTCCTGGATTTTGGTACCCACAGAAGGGTCCTGGGACCATTTATCCAAGGACACTGGAGGAAGACTATATACATAAACCTAGATCTGACCACAAGTTCAGCACGAACAAGGTGTTCATTATACTTTGACTAAATGAAATACCCATCACTTAATGTATCAATGTATTAAAAAAGCTAAAATACAATATGAAAATAGAAAATAGTAGTAAACCATAGCTCAAATCAATAAAAAGGCAGTTCTTGGCAAAATGAAAATGATTGACTCCTCTGAATATTATTCAATCTTTTTTAAGTTCAGATTTGAATTTTACCTAAATTAGGGGACTAAAAATAACTGGAAGACTATTGATTTTGTTCTCAATTTAGACTAGTAAAGCCTGAATAATAATTTCAAGTGGGCTAGCAAAGTACCACTGAGGTTCAGCACTTAGCCAGCATGTGCAAGGATCTGAGTTCAATCTCCAGCATTGGAAAAAATAAAAAATTTACACATGGCAAGTGTGTGTTTTTGTGTGTGTATATATATATACACACACACACAGAGATATACATATATACCTTCAAAAAATAGATAATCAAAAGGCTTAATCATGAATTCAACATCTTATAAATTTGACAAAGCACAATTAAAAATGTATTCTCAGTATACTTTGGGTCCCAAAGTTCTACTTCTATCTGCATTATCAGCATTTCTCCTTGCTTAAAGCCTTTATCCCTGTTAGCTCCTTAGCAGTCACTGCACTCCAAACTCAATGCTAGTTGAAAATAAAGGTAACAAAGTTTTCTTCATCAACAGCCCATAGGCTCACAAAATTGAACCTGTTCTTTTATCTGCCTGTGTTCATTTAGCCCACCAAGCAGTCTTTATTAAAGCTGAGGCATCAGGCAGTCAAAGTTCATTAATACCATTTATATAATCTCTGCAGTTTCAATTAACTCAGCAAGACATTCTACTACATGATAACAATCTCATTAATTCAATAAAATCCCATAACTATTAACAATATGGTCGATGTTAAACGGGGTGTCACCTAGTACAAAATAATAGCTTTAACAGCTTGTGATGAAACTCAAGGTTTTTTCTTAAATTTGATCTGGCTAAATGTTCAGTCCTGCTACAGCAAGGTATTATTTCTCTGTAAAGAATCTATAGGATTTTAAACATGTACAGGGAGTAATTAAGTCTTTTAAAGTGAGACCCAAGAGTGAGCTAATACTACTTTCTCTTAATCAGTAACTGATAGACTTTACCTGTTACCAAGAATTTGATCTCCATATTCCTGTAGTCTTCACACAAATGCAGTGGTCTACATATATCACAAATGGTGGAATGTGATGTTGTGTATTTTTTTTTCCTTATCCATGAAACTTATTTCTATTTTATTAGATTTTCTTAATCCACTTTTATTCTTTCTTTAAAGAAAAACAGGAAACAAATGTGTAACCTGGGATAATTTAATCCTAACTTGATACACTATCAATAAATCTATTACTATGAGATATTTTTGAATTGGAAAGAGGAGCCAGAACAATGAGGAAATAGGTTTAACAACAAAAGCCAACACAATAAGAGCAGAAAAACAGAAAAATTCTGAAGCCTTGAAGACTTTGGACTTTGGGCTAATGTGTGTCAACAATACCCTTATGGATTAAGCCATTTTGAATAGGGCTTCTGTTGTTTTTCAATTCCCATTCTTTTTTTGGGGGGGAGGGGGAGTCCTTTTCTGTTTGTTTTAATTTTTTCACCTTTTGACTTTGTACTCAACTTTAGATAGCCTATCACCTTTCAAAGACATTTCCTTCCCTGAGATTATATAAAAGTTTTCTAAATCTTTTCCTACTATTTTCACATACTTTTAGTTTTTATATTTATATATTCCATCAAAAACTTATTATTCAATAAAGGTATAATCTAAACTTTTTTGTCCTAGATGGAAAGCTAAATACAGCAAATCTGTTTCCTTTTCCCTAATTGAAATCTCATATATAATATATCTAGTTGGCTCCTAGGTTGTTCCACTCATTTGTTGGTTGATTTTTGTAATATCACAGAATTAGATTGATTAAAGTGCAGCAGATTGAACCCTGAGCCGTGTACATGCTGAGAATGTACAATTACCACAGAAATATTCTCCAGCCTCTAGCCAGTTTTATAGAAATTTTGGAGAAAACGTGAAGAAAGGAAATCCTTACATATTGTTGGTAGAAATGTAAATGAGTACAACCATTATGGAAAACTGTGTGGAGGTTCCTCAATTAAAAATGAATCTATCAGGGGCTGGGGTTGTGGCTCAGGGGCAGTGCGCTCACCTCACACATGCAAGGCCTTAGGTTCATTCCTTAACACTACATAAAAATAAATAAATAAAACAGGTATTGTGTCCAACTACAAGTAAAAAATAAACATTAAAAAAAAAAGCAATGGATCTATCATATGATACACTGCTCCCACTGCTGGGTATATATCCAAAAGAAATGAACTCAGTATATAGAAGCTACATCAGCACTTCCATGTTCACTGCAGCACTAATCACAATAAATGGAAACAACTTAAGTGTCCATTAAGGGATGAATGAAAAAAGAAAATGTCGGGTCCATATACAAAGTGGAATACTATTTGGCTATTAAAATGATGAAATTCTGTCATTGCAACAACATAGAAATAAAGTCACTATGTTAAATGAAATATTTCAGGTACAGAAATATAAGTACCACATAATCTTACTTATGTAGAATCTAAAAAAGTCAGTCTCATAGAAGTTGAGAACGAATGGTGGTAACCAAAGGCTAGGGAGAGTAGTAGGGTAAAAAGGACAGAGAAAAAGGTTGGTCAGTGGGCACTAAGTACCATTTAAATAGGAGAGCTATGCTCTGGTATTCTATTTTATAGTAGGAAGACTAAACATTACCTGGTACCCAACAAATATTCATACTTATTACATGTCAAATAAATACTTTCCAAATGTAAAAGAAGCAAAAAAAGTAGTTTTAATATTTCCCTCTGTTTTTTGTACTTCCATGTTCTGTGAAAACTCCAACATAATTATGAACATGCTAACAACAACAATAAGGACCATAACTACTGATAGAAATTTTTAAAGAGCACTCCATGTTCTTAACTCCAAAGTAAATACTATTATTGTCCTCCTCTCACAGATAAGAAAAGTGAAGATTAGAAGTAAGGGAACTGCTGATGAGGAGCAGCTAGCACATAGGGAAATTTTTATTCAAATAAACAGGATATGAGTCTAAACTCAGGGCTTTTAAGCACTAAACTATGTTATTCTCCATTAAAATAACTATAATGCTTTTAGGAATTATTCAAAGTAACCAGATCTAGTTTTAATGAAACAGATTATCACTGAAAATGATGATACATTCTAAGGAGACACAGTCAGCATGCAATTAATAAAAAGACACTACTAGTTTAAGAATTAATATAAAGACATTACTAAATTAAGAATAAAATTATTCGCTTCGATGTTCTGTATATACAATAACAAACACGTTATTTATTATAATGTTAATCTCACTTGGTTTACTATCTTAAACTTCGTAAGTTTGAGTTAAGTATATTGCTTTTACCACAGGTGTTTTCTGTTACATTAAATTGAAGTTTGGCAGTCATCAACTAGATGTAAGTTATAATTTGATTGTTTTGGATTAATGAATTTCATCTGTATTGCCTCTAAATGTATATTTGGAAAAATAAGCAAAAATATTCAAAAATATGTATCTTCACTGGAACACAATAAACTTTAACAGGAAACCTAGATATCTTGATATAATTAAATGATTCAGTTTTCAATAAAAGTAAAAATAATCTTGTTTGCTTTAGTAAAGAGTCAAATAACAGGAACATAAAGAAATCAACTTGAACAAATTTTAAAAAACCATTCTGAAGCTCTATATCGGGTAAGTTTTAAAGACTAATAGTACATTTATTTATTTATTTATTTTTTTACATGCCACATCACATATTTATAAGTGTTGTACTTAGGAACAATATTTATACATACAACTGGGAAAAGTTCTATTACTAGACTGGCTTCAAAGATGCTGTTTATAAACAAACTCTCAAAAGTTGAGAGAAAAGATTGAACATCTTATAGAAGACAATTTGGTAGAATGTCTTATAATGAGAAAGAAGCATATGTGCTTCAATGAGCTTACTTTTCTTGCCATGCAGCTGACAAGCAGCTCTTAGATTGCTTTAGCATTATGATACAACTCTGTATACAATAAAGGTTGCATTATTGCTCTATCACTTGTCAAGCTGTATAGAAAATTTTGAGTCAACGGATGCCACCTGTAAGATATTTTCATTACCTGTTTATAAAGCAACTGCTCGTTTTCTCTAGCATAACAGAAAAGAACATCTGTAAGAATCTTTCTCACATTTTCTTGTTGGAAAAACTGCATTTCGGGAAACCTGAAAAAAGGAAACACAGGATTGAAACTGACTGGCACAATTTCAAGAATCACCCTGAAACTCTCATCTCAAAGAGGTGTTAAGGGCTGCTTCAGGTTTACAACTCTGTATTTGCCTTGCAACTTACACCATTGGTGGGATTAAAAAAGGAATAATAAAAGGAAAATGATTATATCCCAGGGGTTAATGACATCCTTCAACATCTAAACATTTCAAAACTCTTCACATATTAAAAGTCACTGCATGTGTGAATATAAATTTTGAAAAATAATTATAGCCTACATAGGTTTGTTTTAGTCCATTTGGTTTTTAAAATTAGAATGTGATTTTGTGACAGTACCTTTTCAAGAAATACACTGTCATTGTTTTTTATGTAAATTTCAGAATTTCAATTACTTATGACCACATTATCAGTTTCATCTGATTAAAATGTAGATTTCAACTGGAACAAAAGTTAGTATACATTAGTTAAATGCTCTCTGGATCAAAAACTATATCAGGTGCTTTGAAGTAATGCAAAATAGAAAAAGGGTAGAGAATCTTCTTAAAAGGAGTTCAAATAGTTGTTTATAATGCAAGAATATACAGCTCCAAGAACCCAAATGCAAACACACAACAATGCAATACACAATTATCTGTTAAAGGCTGAAGGTATGTCATCTTGGAATAAACAGGGAATTCTGAACAGAATTTTTGGGAGAGGAATGACATGAAAGATCAGTGGGAGCAGTAAGTAAATCAGAAGGAAAGTGATGAAGGTACAGAAGGCAGTGAGGATTTCAAGGGTGCAGGACAGAACTGTAACTAGTAATCAGGAGGAATGAAGTACTACCAGCAGGGAGAAAGAGCATGGGGAAAGAATATGGGACACGTCTTTCTGGAAAGAGCTTTCAATGCTGAATTTAAAACTAAAATTCAGTGACTACATTTTTGAATAGGGAAATAAAAAAAGAAGAGTCTGTGGTTAACTAAGTAGAAATAAGTCAGAAAGAGAAGAGTTTCTAGGAAGGCTAAGTATGTTATAATGAAGGGAAATGAAAACTTTACAAACATAACAAAAGCCCGTATTCAAATATGCTCCATAGGTTCTAGTTATGTAATCTTGAGCAAATGATTGCCTAACTACCTCATCTACTAAGTAGGGAGAACAACATTGATCTTGTAGATTGAGATCAGATCATGTGAAAACACCAAGAACAGCACCTGAGAAGCTGTAACCACTCAGGAACAAAGATCATTAACTAGTCTTTGAGTAATGGAACTTTGTGCACTGAAAGGGAATTGGGTGATATTAGAACTAGAAAATAAGAGACAATGTTAGAGAATGAACAGGAAGACTATGTAGAACACAGAGAAGTGGCAATTACTGGAATAGAAAAATAATCCTCAATGGAGTCTTTTAAAGAGCAATAATACCCATTTTCCTTCATATCATAATGGTTTCCTGCCTTCTTTAAGAATAGAATAATGTCTCTTAGATATGGAGTTTCTCTCTTTCTTCCTCATTAAATGACTGAAAGTTAGCCCTCTGGTTCATGACCAAAGATTTGGATTAACTGGCTTAATAATTTTGTGTGTTCCTTTCCTTGCATAGTATTTACAAACTTTCTATGCACACTGGCCCAACTAAACACCGTTTCACTATTGCAAATCTGAATGGATCATGGAAGAAATTACCAAACTGCTACTCTGTAACAAACATCCACAAACTATATAATAAGAGTTCAACATCTAAAATATAAAAATGTATAAATTATATTGTATACCAAATCGTGGTTTCATTTAAATGCATACAAACCTCTTGCATGATTAAAAACTTAAAATCTAGAAGAATTAAGTTGCAGGTAGATAATTTAAATTGCCCACTTTTAGCAAACACCCAATCAACTGAAAATGCATATTAGGCAGACAGCACATCTATGCCAAAGTACAACATCTACAATGATCTACAATGCAAAAGTGCCAATTTATGAAATTTCAAGATCTCCTTTTTAAGGAAAGCTACAACTTGTTCTCTAAATTCTGATGAAGAATCCATAGCAGGGGCATAAGGCACAAAGATTGACAAAAGTTCTGAAAGAGAAATCAAAGTCTACGCTAGTACAGAAGTTAGAACAAGAACTGAAATTCAGAGAAGGTTTAGCTGAAAGAGCTGGGAGATTATCCAAACTCAGAAACTAATTAGCAATGAAACTGCCACAGAGAAACTGATACCTGTGCCAATGCATCTGAGCAGTCAGCAGACAGCAGTACTTTCTAACTCCTTCCCTTACCAGTTAGAAATGTCAGAGAAATCAATTTACGAAAAATCCCATGACTTCAGAGTGACACAGAAGAACATGGCTCAGAAGGTGGATGAACACATTTAACAATAACATACTTCCTACATAAAAGTACTCAATGGTCGTATTTTCAAGGTGCAAAATAGAAGGCACTGCATTTATAGGCATCAGATATAAGAAGAGAAAGTTAGCAACATTTCTAGGAATAGTAATTGGTTTTTGATGATATACTTCAAGTTTCAGAATAGCCTCCCCTCCCCATTTGACCTCTAGACTTTCCTTTTACCCCATGCCAGTTTGTGCTGATTCAGGATAAGTAATTTTGACATTAGGCTAACCCAGCTATTTCATTTGAAAGGCGAATTTGTTTTTGAAACAACAATAACAAAGAATATTAACCCAGTCTGGATTCAACAATTGCTAAGATTTTGAAAAATCATCAATGACTACAATTTCATACAAAAAAAGAATAGTAACTTCAGAAAAAGTGAGATTAAAGCAAAAAAATGAGAATTGAAACTGTAAAAGCTCATGATTCTTTCAGCCCAAAATATTAGTAGGACAATAAAAGGGAAAAATTCACACTACATAGGAATTGAAGACAAATTTTGTGATTATCAGACAATGAAAGTCCAAGAGAAGTCATTTTTGCATTTGCCTGGAAAATGAAAATGGAAGTGTGAAACAGGTGAGGTTAAAACTCTGAAATTACAGAAAAACAATGAGAAAGTAAGTTTTTCATCAAGAAATTTATACAAAAAATCTAAGATATATATTTGGTGGAAAAAGTGATTATTTCAGCTTTAACTCTGTTGATCAATATTTAAAATTGCGGAGTTTCTCTTAGACATAATAGGGCATTTGACTGAATAAATCTGACATAAAAAAATATAAAATCAACACACAAAAATCAGTAGTGCTTTTCTATGCTAACAATGAATTTTAAAAAAATCAAGAACAATCTGATTTATATTAGTTAACAAAAAAACTTAGGAATAATAAGGAGATAAAAGATTTATAAACTGAAAACTATAAAACCATTATGAAAGAAAATGAAGAAGGTAAAAATAAAAAATATCCTGCGTTCCTGGATCAGAGGACTTAACATTGTTAAAATGCCCATACCACCCAAAGCACTGCACAGACTCAATGAAATCCGTATCAAATTCCCAATGATATTTAGAAAGTAAAATCCTAAAATTCATATGGAAACATGAAATAACCCACATAGCAAAGATCATCAAGGATTACAACCCAAAGAGCCAAAAAAATAAAGCTGGATATATCATACTGACTTCAAACTGTATACAAAGCAATGATAATTAAAGCAGCATGGCACTGGCATAAAAACACACACATCAACCAATGGAACAGAGTAGAAAGCACAGAAATGAGCCAATTCATCTACAGTCAACTGATTTTTGACTAAAGTTCCAAGAATATACAATGTGAAAACAACAATCTCCTCAATAATGTTGTTGCAAAAACTGGATATCCATATGCAGAAGAATGAACTGGGACCCTTACCTTATTTACACCAACCATATAGGAAAAAAAAAATCAACTCAAAATGAATTAGACTTAAATATAAAACCAGAAACTGTGAAACTACTAGAAGGAAAATACAGGGGAAAAACTACATTGGTCTGGACACTGACTTTCTTACTTTGAACTAAGGAGCACAAGCAACAAAAGCAAAAATAGTCATAGGGGATTACATTAAAATAAAAACCTTCTGAGGTTGGGAGTATAACTTAGTAGTAGAGTACACACTTAGCATGCACAAGGCCCTGGGTCTAATCCCAGTAGTTGCTTACTAAATAAACAAATAAATAAAAAATTAAAAAATAAAAAATTTAATTTCTTAAAACCTCTGTTCAACAAATGAAGTAAGAGAATTTTCTCCCACTGTGGAGTGGGAGAAAATATGTGAAAGCCATACATCTGAAAATGGATTAATATCCAAAATGTTTAAGGAATTCTAACATCTCTATGAAATAAAATAATCCAGTTAAGAATAAGACATTTATCAAAAGATGATATAATGGTTAACAGATAAATGGAAAATGTTCCATATCGCTCAACATTAAGGAGATAGGAATTACAATTAGGACCACAAATGTATTAAAATATAATTATTTAATCTATTAAAAAATCTGCAGTATGGAAAAAGTAATGAGATATCATAAAAGTACTGTGTATAATCTTGGCTTTGTATCTTAAACCAAAAGTGTTAGACAGTAGTGTTTTCAATATAGGTTTTAAAAATCTTCCGATGTAAACAGAGAAAAGAGCAGAATCAATCCGAATCTACCTACTACCTAATCAGTTTATACTGATTATATATATGAAACTGATTTTATATATGTGTATGAAAACAATATATGTGTGTATATATCGCCTCCCTAGTACTCCATTATTTTGAAGATAATCCAGACAACATCACCATATCTATGTTTATTTCTAAAAGATACAGTTTTTAAACCACAGTATTATAACACTAATACTAACAAAAATAATAGATTAACTCAAACATCCAATGTTCAAATTTCTGTGATTTCCCAAGACATTTTAACACTTTATTCAAGATCTGAGAAATATCTATCAATGCACTGCAATTTATTAATGTCATTTAAAATTCCTTTACTTGATAGATTTGTCCTTTTCTTTTTCTTGCAATATATTTATTAAAGAAACCAGGTACTTTAACCTGTAGAA